TTAAAAAAAAAAAGACATCAATAAAAAAAAGTGTGGTCTTTATTAAAAACAAACACAGGTTTCAGAAATCTATCATATAAAAGTGGCATCTCCCATAATTCTATACCCCAGAGATAAAGCTCTTTTTCCATTCATATAGAAATATTTCTGTGTGTATACTGTTTCCATTTTTTCACTTCTATAAACTACCTCAGTTAGCATCTTTATACATATCTATATATGCATACTTTTGTGTCTCCATTACTTTTCTAAAGACCCTTGTCAAAGACCATTTTTTTTTTTTAGCAAATATTGCTAAATAACCCTGAAATTTTATTGGTTTTAGTTTGTATCATACCAACACTGGGTTTTATCCAATTTGTTACTTTGTCCACTTTGGTCTCTCATATGCATGACATCGTATATGATTATATCAATTTTGACCAATTTAATTTATGAATAGTATTTTCTCTGTAGAACTAAAGCTAAAAAGTGAAATATTATATTTATAAGAAGTCTACTTCTTTACCTTTTTTTGCTTCTTCAGGTCAGCGTTCTCCAAAAGACTATCCAGGCTGTAGATATATGTGAACAAAATGAATCGTCAACTTTCAGAGCAGGTACCAACCATATTATTATAAATTCTCGTTGCTGCAGAATTCGAAAGATGCACTGGAAATAATCAGAAATTTTTTTCTACTATACAGTGATATGGATGTTTTTTATGATGCCTCTAGTGGCCTAAGATCTTACTTTGCTTTTTTGGTGTTTTTTTTTGTTGTTGAGAAAGATTAGCTAACAACGTCTATTGCCAATCCCTTTCTTTTCTTGAGGAAGATTGGCCCTGGGCTAACTTCTGTGCCCATCTTCCTCTACTCTATATATGGGATGCCTGCCACAGCATGCCTTGATAAACAGTGTGTAGGTCTGCTCCTTGGGTTCCGAACTTGCAAAGTTCGGGCGGCCAAACCAGAGTGCGCGAACTTAACCACTATGACACTGGGCCGGCCCCTTTGCTTTTTTTTTTTAAACCTTTCTATGATGTTTTTTTGTTTTTTGTTTGTTTGTTTGTTTGTTTTTGTGAGGAAGATCAGCCCTGTGCTAACATCTGCCAATCCTCCTCTTTTTTTACTGAGGAAGACTGGCCCTGGGCGAACATCCGTGCCCATCTTCCTCCACTTTATATGGGACGCCGCCACAGCATGGCTTGCCAAGCGGTGCGTCGATGCGCGCCTGGGATCCGAACTGGCGAACCCCAGGCTGCCGCAGCAGAGCATGCGCATTTAACCGCTTGCGCCACCGGGCCGGCCCCTCTATGATGTTTTAATGAAGTAGAATAAAAAATATGTAATTAACATGCTTATGGTGATAAGTCGTAAAACAGATTTAGACAACTTCTGGAATCACAGAGTATTATTAGCCTCTCTAAGCCTCAATCTCTTTATCTCTCTCTGCCTCTTTTTTTTTTTAATGGAAATCCCAATTTTCTTTTTTTGTTGTTGAGATATAATTGACATGTAACATTATAATAGTTTCAACTGTACAACGTAATGATTCGATATTTGTATGTAGTGTGAAATGATCACCGCAATAAGTATAGTTAACATCTATCACCACACATAGTTACAGTTTTTTTTCTTGTGACGAGAACTTTTAAGATCTACTGTCTTAGCATGAGCTTCTTTCATCCAAGGAGTTAAATTTTGTTCAGTGCAGTCTTAGTGTTGCTTATTTTGAAAATAACCCTGTCTTTTGAAAATTGGGTGATACATCATAACCAAAATGTTTAGATTTAGTGTTTCTTATTCCTTAACCTTTCTGATTAAATAAGATTTTACAAGGAAAATAGATACAACTCCAAAGGAAAATTTAGTAGTTTATTCTTCAGAAAAATGAATATTTTATCCAAGTGACATCCTAGCAGAGTTCCCTTATGGAGAGTCCTATTTGAAAAATTAAGTACTATAGTTATTGTATGTTTTCCTTTTTCTTCCTTTCCATCTCTTCTAGGTAAATGAAGCCAAACTATTCTGCAAAGGTAATACTGATACTTGAATAGCAGAAAGAAAAGCTAAGTAAAGGTCTTCATTAATCTTTGTTTTCTGTTTTAGATTCTAAAGGAAGCAAAAGAAAACCAGCAATGAGAGAGAAGGAAGAAAGTTCTGAGCATTACCAAAGAGACGTACAAACACTTATCCTACAGGTAAAGCATTTATTTTGGCAGACCAAAACAGTTTCTGTCCATGAGCTTAGCTTTGTGTAACATACCTTCATTATCGTATGATAAGTATCTCTGCACATAGAGATCCTTATAGGCATAGGTTACATATAGTTTACATATAGGCATCATGTGATTAAGAAAATCGAGCTTGTTCCTAATTTCCAAGAGCTTATATTTTAAAACTGTTATTCTGTATTCAACCATTCTAGAAGTGCTAGTCTGAACCTTCAGTTCATTCAGCTTCCTTACTAAGCCCTACCCAACCAAACCATCATACAGTCAGAATTCCCTTTGTGGTTGGCCTGGGGGATACACAGAGAGTTGCAGTTATCTATGCTGATAGATCAACCTTTGGGGATATGTCCATTTATTAGTGCATGTGTTCTAAAGTCTAGGAAAGTAATGAATCGTCCTCTTACCACCTGGTAATTATATCATTTGCAACCATGATTTTTCATCTAGTTGCACTCAACTTCCTGTCCTTATCAGAGGGGTTCTATTGGTTTAAATGACAGTTTCTGCCTTTGGCCAGTATCTCCATTTGGAGTCGGGAGAGCCAGATTTGGAGAAGGAAATTACATTATACTCACTTTGCTCCACTTTTTAAAGTAAAAAGTGAAGAAAAGAGTCATTCTATTTCTGTGCAACTACGGTGTCTTAAAAGGAAGATAGTCCTAAAAGTCCAAAAAGGGAGATAGTGAAAAGGTGAGAATCTTAGGGTAGGAGAAACTGGATTTTCTAGCTTTCTTTGTGTGATGTAGATGCTCTGTTTAGTGTGGATTGAGTCTGCTCTTATGTCACCTAACCCCATCGATAAGACATTAAATAAAGGCGAGTACAGTCGAGATTTATTTTTCCTATTTGTTTTGGTGCTATGTTTTTGGTTTTTGGTTTGTGGGTTTTTTGTTTTGTTTTTTAAATTTTTCTGGAGAAAGACTCCCTTTTAGAGGTAACAAATAAATGGAAGCAGGACAGGAGTGGCTACTTCCCTGCTTTTGGCCTTTCTAGGTGGAAGCACTGCAGGCTCAGCTGGAAGAACAGACCAAGCTTTCTAGAGAGCAAGTTGAAGGGCTCATGGAGGACAGACGGATTCGCATTGAGGAGATACAGATTCATCAGCAGAGAAATCAGGACAAAATCAAAGAGCTTACCAAAAAGTGAGTGTTCAAGAAAGCTGTACCTAACAGATTTTTAAATTTTTCTGAATGGCTTAAAAGGTAATGGTCCCAGGGGCCGGCCCCGTGGCTTAGCAGTTAAATGCGTGCGCTCTGCTGCTGGCGCCTTGGGGTTCGGATCCTGGGCGCGCACCGACGCACCGCTTGTCAGGCCATGCTGTGGCGGCGTCCCATATAAGTGAAGGAAGATGAGCACAGATGTTAGTTCACGGTCAGTCCTCCTCAGCAAAAAGAGGAGGATTGGCATGGATGTTACCTCAGGGCTGATCTTCCTCACAAAACAAAACAAAACAGGGCCGGCCCCGTGGCTTAGCGATTAAGTACACGCGCTCCGATACTGGCGGCCCAGGTTCGGATCCTGGGCGCGCACCGACACACCGCTTGTCTGGCCATGCTGAGGCCGCGTCCCACATACAGCAACTAGAAGGATGTGCAGCTATGACATACAACTATCT